AATCAAAATCTTTAAATTTATCATTTTATATCAGTATTTTAAAAATAAAAAATATAATTTAATAAATCATATATCTCTTATTGATTGAGAGTGTACAAATATTTTCAATTATAAATGTGTATTCATTTTTCTCTAAATCAATATAAGAAAATAAAAATAATAAAATAATACATCTTTATTTGAGGAGATTAATTAATATACACTTTGAGTGTAAAATACTTTATACCATTAGTGTATCGCAACCACTCATAAATAATACTTTTGATGCGATTAAAAAAATCAAATATAAAAATTTAACGTTGTGATACACCAACGATATAAAATGTCTTACATTATCAATGTATATTAATTATATTCTTATTAAAATTCTAGATGCAACATTTAAATCTATTAATAAAAATGATATTGAGGGAAAATTTTGTGATTTTCGAAAAAATGCAAAGTTATCTGCTAGGGCAAAGTTTTGAATCTAATGCTCCGAATAAGAATAAAGAAGTTCTCAAAGCTATAAACACTAAATAAGTGAAAGAAAATGAGAAGCAATCAGTAGTAATGATTGTGGGAGATGATCATTACAAAAACGTGGTCGTGGGTCAACCAAAGGTTTCTTACAAAGCCATGGTAGTGGGGGGATGAAAATCTGGATATTGACAAGGAGGATGTTGATGAAGACGAGGACACAGTGATTACAATCTTAGATCTAGAGAATATGAAGGCTGAAGAACATCTAGAAGAAAAATATGATTGTCCGAAACTCATCTTTTCCAAACACGAGGAGAGAAGAATTCATAGGCCATGGAAGAGAGGTGTGATAGTGAAGTTGCGGGGTATGAGAATTTGATACAAAGCTTTGGAAACAAGATTGAAGCAGACGTAGGTAAAAAAAGGCGTGATCAACATTATAGACCTGAGTAATGACTATTACTTGGTCATATTCTCTCATGACGAGGATCACAATGTGGCGCTTGCTAATGGCCCTCGGTTCATATATGATCATTATATCATAGTGAAAGAGTGAAGCAGAATGGTGTTTGTACGAAGCAGAATGTGATAGAGCCATATGGACCGTGGTCAGTGGTTCAGAAAAACAAAAGAACCATGAAGGTTGTAGAAAATATATGAGGTGGCATTATTTTGCCGGTGACCGGAGGTACGAGTGGTGGCAGCCATGACAATGGTCCATTTAAAGTTAATTCATTAATGACACTCAGGTTTCTATGGTGACACGCAGATGATAGTGGGGGGACCAAAATCACTCAAATCAGGTGCCCACAAATCAGAGTAAAGCTCGTGGAAGTGTTAGGAAAATGAGGAGAGAGAACAAATTGGCAGATGTTAAAAACAATATGTTAGTGTTCACAAGTCTAGAATTATTGTTATTATGGAAACAATATGTGTCCCTACTAAACTTAAAAAACCTCTCTTCAAAATGGGTTTTGATGGCTTATGTGCTAATGATAATCAAGGATTTGCTAGAGACATTGCAGTAGCTCGTGTGAAGGAAGATTTGAGCATTATTATGGTGAATAACAAGCTTCAATTTATTCATTGTATGGTGCAACAAATACAAGGCCTAACATGGTGTTCTATTGCTACATATGCTAGTCCTAATGCTAATAATAGGAGATGTTTGTGGAATGACTTGTATGACATTAGTACAAGCACGAAAGATGCGTGGCTTGTGGCTGATGATTTAAATGACATTGCCTTTGCTCATGAAAAGAAGGGTGGTGCTCCCATTTGTCTTAATAAATGTAAGAACTTTAGAGATAACATTGATAGATGTGGATGAATGGACTTGGGAGTTGTGGGATCTAGATTTACTTGGAGGAATCCTATTTATAACGGAGGCCAGCATATATATGAGAGATTCGATAGAGCTTTGTGTAATGAAAGTTGGAGATTACATTTTTCTGATGGCTATGTTAAAGTCCTTCCTATATTAGATTTTTGAGACCATCATGCTATCCTCATTTGCTCCCAAGGAAATGCCAGGAAAATTGTTAATGCACATTTCAGGTTTGAGAGTGCGTGCCTAGTGGATAAATCTTATAATCATATAGTGGAAACCATATGCAAAAAGGATAAGTCGCTAGCTAGTAATCTTGATAACACCATTAATGGAGTTAAAGAGTGGAAGTTAGCTACTTTTCACCCGATCAGGAGAAGGAAGAATGAGATTATGCAAAGATTATAGGCATTCAACTTAGTATTTAAGGTAAAATGGTGGCTGGTGGATTGAGAAGAATAAAGCAAAATCTTCAGAATGAAATGCATGAGCTCATTCAAAAAGAATAGTTGACGTGGTTCCAAAGATCTAGGTCTAAATGGATCGCCGATAAAGACCACAACATCAAATATTATCATACAAAAACCATTCAACGGAGAAGAAAGAACAAAACTGTAATGATCAAGAATACTGAGGGGCAGTGGATTGAAGAATATGATAAAGTTTGTCAGTTATTCATAGATCATTATAAAGAGCTTTTTGCTTTGCATGATATGGGGCAGATGTGGGAACAAATTCAACTCTCATCCCTTTGTATTGATAATAACTAGTTGGAAAAAATGAGAATGAATCTTACTGATGCAAAAATAAAGTATGCCTTGTTTTGTATCTCCCCGTGGAAAGCGTCGGGGCTAGATGGATTTCCAGCCGGGTTTTATCAAAACTCTTGGAGTGTTGTTGGTAGTATTTTGTGTGAGTATGTTAAAGAGATTTGGAAAAGCCCTAGCAAGCTTTCAAACATAAATAATATGGATATTTACCTTATACCAAAGGTGGAGCAGCTATATCAAGATAACCAATTCAGACCAGTCCCCCTGTGCAATGCCATTTATAAGCTTGTAAGTAAGGTTGTTGTGGAGCGGCTAAAAAATTGCATACCAATGTTAGTCTCTCCCTATTAGTTACGTTTTGTTTCTAGGAGGAGCATCCACGAGAATATCATCGTGGCACAAGAGATTATGCATAGTATGGATCGAAGTAAGGGCAAGAAAGGATACTTTGCTATTAAAATGGATTTGTCGCGTATGATAAACTTAGTTGGGAATTAATTTGGAGGGAATTGAAAGAAATCAAGCTTCCTTAGAAAATGATCAATATTATCATGCATGGCATTACAAGTGTAGAGACCAACACAAATTGGAATGGAGTTCAGTTATAATTTTTCCGTCCAAGTAAGAGCATCCGACAAGTAGACCCTATCTCTCCCTATATTTTTGTATTATGTGTGGATAGACTATCTCATATTATCGTGCAGTCAGTTGAATAAGGTGAGTGGAAGGCTATTAGGGTTGTTAAACACAGGCCATGAGTGTCTCATCTTATGTTTGCAAATGACTTGTTATTATTTGGAGAAGCGACAACGAGGCAAATGTAATACGTTATTTAAAGCTTGAACAAATTTTATGCTATGTCAGGTGAACAAGTGAGTCAAGATAAGACTCGTATTTTGTTCTCTAAAAATGTGAATAGAAGTATGAGGGAGCAGCTATTGAATATGTCAGGTTTTAAAGAAACAGCTTCCCTTGGCAAGTAATTGAGGGTACCAATTACGGGGAAGACACCAAGAAGAGCAGAATATCAATATATAATTGATCAAGTGAGCTCTAAGTTGAGAAAACGGAAAAGAAACAATTTGGCATTTGGATGTGGAAAATAGGGTGGAAGAGAAAGATGTTTGGAAGGATATTTGGAAGGTTCAGGCTACGAAGAGGGTAAAGAACTTTGTATGACTCCTCAAGCATAATGGGTTACTTACCAATAGTAAGAAGAGTAGAATGAGGTTGGGGAGTGTTATGTGTCAGTATTGTGGAGATGAGAAAGAAGATGCGCTCCATGTGCTTCGGGATTTCCCCCTGACTATGCCTCTTTGGCAAGTGGCGATGCACACTAACATTCGTTTGCTTTTTTTTTTGCATGTGATTTGAAAAACTGGATAGAAATTAGTATGCACTACAATGTGGGATGGAATACAAATGTTGATTGGAAGTTTGTTTCGGTCACTGCATGTTATAACCTATGGAGCTGGCATAATAAAGAGAGCCATATATAAGACTTTTCACGATCTCAAAATATGGTGAATTGCATATTCAAACAAGTTAATGATTATAACCCGACGAAATGCAACAATTAGGTTGTTACCTGAATTCAACATAAGGAATGAATCAATATTAAGTGGAAAACTCCTAGTGTGAAGAGAGTCAAACTTAATTTGGATGGAGCTAGAGATTCTAGAGGAATTACTGGGCGTGGAGGCATTATTAGAGAGAATGAAGGATAGTGGATTGGAGGTTTCTCTAAGCAAACAGACATCTGTGAAATTTATATCACCGAGTTGTGGGGTGTGCTAGAAGGTCTTCAGATTGCGGTTGCGGTGAGATTTACCAAGATAGACATTTATGTTGATTCTCATCAGGTGGCACAAGACATTAATAATAGTTATACTAGTAATATTTTAGAAAGAGAGTTCATCAAGAAAATAAGGTCTTTTTTCAAACGGATAAGAATATCAAAGTGATACATGTTTTCTATAAAGTCAATCTTTGTGTGGATGCCCTCGCAAAGAAAGTAATTCATACCAAGAACATTTGTTTCTTTGAGACGTGTTTGACAATTGTGGAATAATTGTATGAGGATGACTTAGCGGAATCTCTATTGTTAGATTGCTTTCTACGTAAGTTTATGTTATTTGAAGCTTAGACTTTTCTTATATATAAAAAATACAAAAATAAAAATAATATTTATGAAAAAAAATGATAGTAGTAGTATTTTATAGTTAAAATAATAATAATAATTAAGAAAGAAGAATAGTCTCGTTTAGCATATACGATTGGTTCCTCCTGGTATTATAAAGGCGGAAAAACACAGAAGTGGGGTAGTAGGTGAGATTCATTCCGATCCGATTGATTCACTCCCTCCCTCGCTTAAACCGTACTTCAACTTCTCCAACTAGTTTCCGATCACTCACATTTTTGTCAGATTCAAATCTAAACTCATGGTACCATACCGCTAATTCCTCATCGCACTTTTCACAATTCACTCCCTCACTCACTCCCTTTTCTCTCTTTCATTTCAGGCTACTACCACATTACGCTTATACCTAACTTGCATTCGCAACACACTCCATGCCGCCATGTGCCTTCAGGTTCGTCAACAACACCTTTCTCTATTTTCATCATTTTGATTCCCATCATTTTTCTTTTTTTCTTCCTGCAGAATTTTCCTTGTCAAGAAGTTGAAAGACATAACAAACCAGAGGTTGAACTCAAGTAAATCTTTTCTTTTCTCTCACTTCAATAAACATCATTACTGTTTGTTTATCATATAGGTTGATTTGCATCTGGATTTGACCTAAATACCTTAATTGAATCAATGCTTGTAAATGTTTTATGTGCAGGACTAGCCCTGAACTCCTTCTCAATCCTGTAAGACTCCATCTAATATCATATCATTCTGATTCTACTTTCTACTTCACCATTTTTCCTTGTTTTTTTTAGTAAACCACCAAATTTGTCTTCTACTATGTAGGAAGCTCTCAATTAGGCTCATGAAATCATGAATATTAGAAAAAGATCCCGTGTCTAGGTCAAATTTTACTCATATTAGTCTTTCTAAGTGTTGGGACCGAATTCAAATGTAATGTTAGGGGACAAATTGATAGTATGTGGTTAATATAGGTACCAAATTGATAGCAAGTGATTAAAATATAGGGTCCTAATTGATAGGAATTGATTAAATTCAGGGACCTTTTTGAAATAAATCTGCTTGATAGCACTTTGCAAAATCAGGGACTAATTTGGTGCTTTGCTCCTTTTGTTTACTATTGACTTAAAATTTGCCTGTTTCTTTGCTTTTATGTGAATTACATTTTTCCCCTCTGTAAATCAAACTTTTGCTCATACAAAAGGATGGGAGTGTGAAGATTGTTTTCTTTTGCATTAGATTCAATATGTCTAGCTTCTTAATTCTCAGCTCTTGCTATGTTTCTCATATTTAGAATAAATATTTGGTTTCTGTGTGCCTTCTTTGGGACTGACTTAACTCTTATATGTGATTTTTTTTGTGTTAATGTTTTTTTCATCTTTTTACTGTTTCTGTATATATGATGTATGTTTCAAAGGAAATTATTGCTTTCCAAATGACGTAGACTTCATTAGGACTAAGTTAGCTGAGATTTTGCTTTAATAATTTCTTCTTTTACTATACCTTTCTAAATGATATATGCTTTAAAGAAATTATTATTTTCGCATTGATGTTTAATTGGAAATTGTGTCCTGTTGTTGTTATAGGTTTTGATATGCCGAAATGAGGCTGAAAAATGCTTAATAGAAACGTCTATCAATTCACTAAGGATAAGTCTTAAGGTAAACCTTTTATCTTTCTTTTTTTATGATGTTTTGTTGGAATGATCTGAAATTGGTCTTTGCCCTTTTTTTGATATGATGATTAGATTACAGGCTGACCAAATTTGTGGTGTTTCTTTAGGATATAAACTGTCTGTTCAGGCTGGGGATATTTTTCATTAAGTTTTGATTTTTCTTTGCAGTTCCTTTTCTCTGAGGTTTCCTTTGTTTATTGTTCTGTTGGCACACTATATGTTAACAGTTTGTAAGTTTTGTTACTAATAAATAGTAAAAAGTGTTAACCTGATAGTGAACATCTCCCCAAGGCTTCAGATTGCTTTACTGTATGATCGGTACCTTTTACAAGTATTGAAATATGGTCAGATTAGTACATTATAGTTAGGAATTTTGATACATTTTACTTATCCTTTCTTCCCATCCTTTCTGCCGAACCCTACCACCACCACCACGCTATTCTGCTATAGCGTGCTATTGACAACACAGATCTATACTCTATGAAACAATTATGTTCAGGCCCTTTTTTTCACTAGATTTAATAAGATCACCATCTTTACTTTGATATATTTGAGAGGAACCGTGTCAGCTGTAGGACATCAGGAGGTCAGATGTATCTCAGAGGCCTTCTTAGATGGGGTGTTGAAATAAATTCTTTAGTTATATCCTTTAGTTAAAAAATTCAGATGTGTGAATTTAGATGATAAGAATGTTAATGGTTCAATGATCATACGGGGGTTGAATTGTGGTGTAAGAGTTTTTAATGTAAGTATTAATTGACTATTTGTAAATTATATAATGTTTTGGATATATTCATCCTTTGTTGTTTCTTGCATTCTCTTTCTCTTCTCATAAAAGAGCAACTTTAAGGTGTCAAAGTAGCACTAACTGACTACAAATCTAGTGTGACTTCAATTGACTGACTGGTGGTGATAAATCGTTTTGCAATTTAATTCTATTAGCAAATAAGCAAACTAATATCAGGATTAGAATATGTTAGCAGCCATGACATTTACATATGAAGTGCCAAAATTCATTATTATTTGTGCAGGTGAAGCAGGCTGATGAACTTGAAAACATATTGACGAAGAAGTTTCTTAGATTTTTGTCAATGAGAGCTGAGGCTTTCCAAGTACTGAGGCGAAAGCCTGTGCAGGTTTATATCTCTTCACCAATTAACCTAGTTTTTTTTCTGACTTTCCGTTTCAACAACCGTGTCGGTCAATAATTTTTATGATCAAATAAAGTAATATTTAGATATTGGTGATAGGTAAAATAACGGCTTCAGAGCAGGGAAATAAATTTGTATGAATTTTCACTGAGCCTTTTGATAATAAAATATTTGTCGAGTTTGCCTCAGATATCACATGTTTCTGTGGTTGTGCTTGGAATAACTCCCTGTCATTATTATTAAGAGTAGGCTAACACATACAACATACTGTATTACTCTCAAGTCTCTTTTTGTTCATCTCCCCATTCCTAGTTAACCCTTGGTTGATATAGTGGGAGAAAATCCTCTTCATACCAGTGTTATCAAATTGCGGCGCCATGGCCGCTATGGCGGATATACATGGCGGTTTTTGGGTGCGCCGCAATGGTAAATATCAATCGATATTGCCGGTTTTTCTGCCATAATCCGCTATAACGGCGCCGTAAAGCGGCCTGTAATGCGGGATTTTGGCTCTCCACCATGAACCACTATCCGCCATTGACAACATTACTTCTTACACAACACAGTTGACAGGTGAGGAAATGTGGACTTACAGATAATCCTCAAATTTAATTTATTTTCCCCTTCAACTGACCTTTCTATGTACATAATATACTATATTATCAAAAACACAATATATGCAGAATAAACTACATTGAGTTTTCAGGAATCAGTAAATTTAGTTTTCTATTGATCAATTTTCTGTGTGTGCAGTTAGTTGAGCTATTTTTAGGGGTCAATAAGGATTGAGGAATCATAAACGGTTTCTACAACGCTTCTGTTTCCTTATTAACATTCAATGAATCGTGACATTAAATGATGGCCTTTTTTATAAAATAATTCACTTTCCATTCCTTCTTAACAAGTTCAGTTTGGTGCTTTATTTGCCCGGCTAGCAATTTTTTATTCTTGTTAGACAATCACTACTGCAAGACATAGCAATGGTTTATTTTCTGTTCTTCTTGGCAGGGATATGATATTAGCTTCCTTATTACAAATTACCATTGTGAGGAGATGCAGAAGCAAAAACTCATAGATTTTATAGTGCAATTTATGGAGGCAAGAATTTATTGACCCTATAACTTATTTTGCATTTCATTTTGCAGCACATACTGATACTAACAGCTTTTAAATTACAGGATATTGATAAGGAGATAAGCGAGCTCAAATTATCAGTGAACACGCGGGGGAGGCTCGTGGCTACAGAGTTTCTGAAGCAGTTTATCTGATTCTTTGGACTAGATAGAATTAGAACTACCAAGTCCTTGTATATTGTACTGTATTTCAAATCTAGTCCCACCATCTTTCTGATTGCTCGTGTCTTTATGATATTCAGTAGTTAGTGCAGAATAGTTTCTGTAGAGGGAAATATAAATATTAAATCAAATTGGAATGTTATGTCTTTATTATAAATAGTTATCACACCTAATGTCTTTTGCACTAGTACTAGTTTTGGATTTGGATTCCACGTGTAAGAAATCTAGTCTTTCGGTCAGAAACAGTTGAGATCCCATAGTTTGAAATTGCCGAGTTTTGCATTGCTTGTTCAGAGCCGCTGGATTGCATTTTGACGAGATTCACTATTGTGTCAAACTGTGTGAATTCGCAACTGCAGCGAGTGCAGGTCCCTAGTTTCAGTCTGGTCTCAAATTGCTGGACTCACCCGAGACAGCAGTCCATGATTGGACAGTCACACTATTGAAGATTTATAGGAGTTAACTTGTCACTCCCAACTTGAATCTGGCAGTTTGACACTACTCATAGATTCATAATTTTAAAATTGTCCTTGAAAAAATGTGAAAACAAATATTCATAAAAAAATTATTTATTTTTACCAGAAATTTTGAAATTTAATTAAATTAAAAATAAAATTCGGAAAAAATACGAAGAATACCATAATTTTCAAAAACTATTTTTTACACTATCAGAAATTGATATTTCCGATACTGTACTGAAAATTTCGAAATTTTCGGTAGTATAAAAAAACATGAATGTTTTTTTCATATTTTTTTATTAAGAAATTGAAAAAATGAAAATTTCTGGTTCGTAGTGCAAATTTTTGGTAAAAACAAATAAAATTAAAAATAAAATGGTTTTTACGAAAAGGTATAATGGTAAAAACACTCTAAGCGGGGGGGTATCAGGTACACGCAAGGGGATGACAAGTTAAATGCTCGAAGATTACATAGTTACAGGAAAGGGTAAACAACAGACAGGTTTGAGTGGGTTCGGGTTCAAAATGTTAATCCAACTTAAACCACACGTGATATTGACTGGGACATTGCATCAACCACAAACCAGAATATGCCATTGAATTTGGATATATAACTATAATAATGAGTACCTCGGGCCTACACGAGAATATTGGCCACACTGGTACGAAACACGAGTGACATTTTTCTCTCTTTCACTTACACTAAGGTGGTGTGCTATGGCAGAGGAAATCTTCAGTAGAGCCTCCTAAGCAAAATTGTGTTATGGCGGAAGAAATCTTTGGTAAAGCCTCCTAAGCAAGATTTTGGCACAAATACATCACAAATGTGAATCGATGAGACGACATCTACACCATAACCTGCTTAGAAGAGAAATTGTATATTATTTCGGAGAATTTATCCATAAATTCCTCCCTCAAAATACAAGAAGGAAATTCAAATTTGACTCTTCATCGTAGACGATGACTCACCTCGCTATGATGAAACTAATTGTTTTTCCTTTAGTAAAATTTTTTATGCATGGATATTGCGAGAGACCTCCATTTTCGTTGTATGATGACGAACAAGTTAGCCTGCTTTCCAAACCCTACTCAAGATGACATATCACTCTTATTCTGCAAGATCATTTTAAGAACACTAAATAATTGTATTGTTTGACATATGATTCATGTCATATAATGTTACATTTTATCAATAAACATGTCTAATACAAAGTTGGCCAACAAATTAACAAAATATCACGCGATCTTGCAAGTTTTAAGTTGGGAATAAGTAAGATAAAAACTTATTATATCATTTTTTTAGATCTTAAACCTAATCCTAGAATCCTTAAGTGGAGGAAGAGAGCCATTAATCAACATTAATCCATTATCTAGCGAATATTTTATGTTTCACCCAAAACACCCATCATTAGGTTCACTACGGTGGAGATGCACCAAAGTGACCGGGTGAAGCTACAGTTTGGGATGCATTAGGATATTCCAGATGCTCCGACGTCATTGGGACAATGGTATCAGCAACGGTGGATTCACAATGAAGTGTCGGTCATTGGAAGGAGTTTGCGAAGGAGATGTATCAACATTGAAAGAATAGAAGGAAACACATCTTAACCGACCATATTGTGGAAGGGGTTAGGCCAAGTTATCAATATATGACTTGGTTTAGGTCGGTTACAACATCACAACCATTTCTATCTGAGTCGACCTATTTGATTGACCCAAGGCAACGTGCTTCTTCCTCAAGCACACAGCAACAGTCCAATGCCCAACATCCACAACAACAACCTTACCATAACCCATACATGCCACCAAATGCCCAACATCAACAACAACAGCCTTACCATGACCCGTACATGCCACCAACCCAATCACAACAACAACAACCTTACTAATATAGTCCTGATACGTCTTTTGACCCTAACCTCCACCTATAGCCCAAATAACTCATTTGACCCTACCTCCTCCACCTACCCACTGTTTGACTACCAAACCCCATAACAACCAACACACCGTTTCCAACCCGATTCAATGTACGAATTCGGACAACCATATCGTCCATACTCCATCCAACCTCCCCGACAATCCTACGAACACATGGGCATTGGGCTTAACTACGGAAGCGCCGTTGATAGTGAACCTCCCGGCTATTGGGGTCAAATGGTTCAAAATTCATCTGATACGTCGGGGTCGTCCCAACAAATACCTCTTCCACAACTCAACATCCAAAGACCGGACACACCTCAACAACCTCGTGGTAGACCCCGTCGTCGCGCGCATCTTCCACAATGTGGCACCGATGGTCGTTTAGATAGAGTCGGGCATTAATTTTTTTTATCAATTGTAATTTATATTCTATTATAAATTAATATATTTTAATATTTCTTCCATTTATTATTTAGATTATTTAAATTCTATCCATTTTTTTATATAAATTGTAAAAAACAAAAAATATAAATATATGAAACAATTAAATAGAAAAGTTTTTATATAAATTATGAAAAACAAAAAATATAAAAATAATAAACAAATAAAATGAAAAGAAAAATGGCAAAACGAAGAAAAAAACACATTTTTGGCTGATTCACCAATCCAATTGGCGAATCCATTGGCCCATTAAACCAACTCGCCAATCTAAATGGCGACAAACTTGATTTTTGGGTGCATTCGCCATTCCAAATGGCGACCCAAGGTTCAATGCTGGTTAGTTTGGGAAAAAGTTTGAAATGTTATTTTGTTTGGTAATTATTTTTAAAATATTGGTTATATTAAAAAAAATCCCAAAATGTTCTTATTTTAATTTAGATAAAATTTTGAGATTTATATTTGGACATTTTAGACCTCTTCTTATTAATAAACCAAATCATATTTGTAAGTGAAGAATGCACCTAAGAGAGGGTGAATTAGGTACTTAAAAATTTTCTGGTCTTATCGTAGGAATCATGTTTACTTTCCTAAAGATTTTCAAAGTGTGGAATGCGGTAAATGCAGAAAGTAAAAGAGACACGACGATATATCCTAGTTCCTCTCACAGCCCGAGAGTACTCCAGTCCCCTTTCAACACGAAAGAGATTTTTCAATATTGTTTGGTCCTAAGACAAGACTTTCTACCTAGTCTTTCTATACATACACAAATCAATCAAACCACCAAGAACACACTCTTGGATTTTTCAACTAAGTCCAATGAGAACAATCCTTTCAATGTGGACCTCTTGCTTCCAACAATTTTGGACAACAAGATAACAACTTTACAAACTTTATTCCAACAATCCTGAAACACTAAGTATGTAATCAAAAGAACAAATGAATAACTTTGTTTGAGTGGATTTGAAATTGTCTTCAATATATCAATCAATCTTTCAATTAATCTTCCTCTTGATATTTCACCTTGTATATATCTTAACAAGTGTTCAAATGAGCGAGAATGAAACTATGATGGATTTTTGAAAATTTAAGTATGCAAGTTTCACTCTTTTAAAATTTTAGAATTTTGACACTTGTAGAAAAATGGAAAAATGAGAGATGAAATATATTTGAATTTTTTTTTGCAAGGGTGTTTTTTTAACTGAGTTTAGAGGTATATATAGGCCTCTAAACACCCTTTCAAAATGACTAAAATCATCAAAAGATGCCATGGTTCAAGAAGAAGAAGAAAATGTTTTTCAAACCAAGAGATGCAACTTTCTGGCCTGCAGCGCCAGTGGTAATCGGTTACCATAAGTGGATAACCGATTACCTGCCTCCAACGTAATCAAAAATTGAAAATTTGCAACAAGTAATCGGTTACCAGGATAGGGTAATCGGTTACTCAGTGTTGTTTTTTAGAAACCAGTTTTTCCAAAATTGAGGCAAAATACATAGTGTTGCACCCCAAAATTTGACCAACAATTATTTATTCATTGAGTGTTTGGAAGTGGATACCTTCATCAGAAAGTTCAAGAGATCCTCAGAGGAATGGGTTGAAACCAGGGTTGTGTGCTTCATAGCTTGAGAGTTGTGGGTGCTCCTCAGATAATTCTGAGACTTTGAGAATGAGCTTCATGTTTTGGGAAAGCTTATGAGATGTCTTGATAGCCTTCATGAAGCCCAGAGAAGTCATTATGCAAGAGTTCAGAGGATTCAACCATGAATGATAGAATTAGGGTTTTGACTGGGTCAACCCTAGGATAACTGAAGATTTGGGAAAGGTTGAGACCCAATCCAAAGGCCATGAGATCATGGAATGATTCATAGAGATGATATAAAGATGATTCCTAGGCCAACTCATCATGAGTGAGGAGTTTGAGAAGTTTCAAGTCAGGGTCCCCAAGGATTGTCAGTGAAAAACCCTAATTTGATCCCTATCTTCCAGGCAGTTTTAGCTCAAGATGTGATTGATATCTCACCTTCCCCATAACATGAATGTTGTAGATCTTGTTCTAAGCTTTAATTTGAGTGGTGGAAGTACTTGATAGGAGTTACAGAGCTCAAGTTATGGTTTTGACAAATTACAGGTCAGCAGAGGTGTGTGAATCTGGGTCC